ACGGGTAGGATAAACAGTAGGGCGAAGGAGGTAATAAATAGAGAGAATAGAAGAGAAAGTAAACGCGAAGGTTTAATGTTGGATGTAAAAGTGATAGATCTTAAAACCGTGTTATGCCTGCTCGGTTCAGGCTCTCTATCACTCCCCCTCCCTCCCTCCCTCTCTCTCTCTCTCTATCTCTCCCCAATCACGTCAATGATCGCAATAGGTCGCGGCCATTCAGGTCAGCGAAGGCATATGACCTCGTCACGCTTCACTTCGGTTTACCCGAATCCTCGCATCATCTAAGGGGCATTCCAAGTCATGGATGACCAACCCATTGATGTTATGTCTGAAACAGATGTCCAGACATCTGTAACCCATTCATTTTATGGACCTTTTGGTTGAATTTGGCACTCAAAAGCCCACTGACGCGATCTGTTTAAGGAGCCCCAATGAGTTTACAAATTTTAAAGCAATTTACGACGTTCATTGGATTTCAAAGCATGTCCTAATAGGACATTATATCGTTGGTCTGGCTAACCGAGAAATATAAGGGCGGCTCTATGCCATTGAACCTTCCCCTCGACATATTTAGAGCAGCTTACGACGGTTCGAGTCGTTGCACCGTCAGAGCTCTCTTGGGGTGCATTTTCTTCCTAAATTGGTAATTGTGGTGTTTTTGTGTACATTTGTTATGTGACTGTTAATGGTTAAATATTAGTTCCGGGAATCATGGAAGGTCCAGTGTAACGCGTGGGAGGTGATGGGGTGACGGGGTCCAGCTGGGTAGGTGATGGGGTGAGACGTCCAGGAGGGGAGGAGATGGGTGGGGTGATGGGCTGATATGCTATAACACTATATTTGCCAGTTGGTACCGCCCATCCTAAGGTTTCCCAACGTCAAGAAAACGGTCAAAAAGTGTCCTCTCCTAACCTACCAGAGGACCCAAAACAGAAAACGGGACAGTACGTCACTTTCGCGAGCCGCTTCCTTTTTCCAGTACGACCATCTTTTAGCCTTATATAACGAGCGAAAAGCGGCGTTCGTTGTTGGAGGACAAGTTACCATCGCGCGACAATATGTTGTGTGCATATGATCCTGAGCCAGACTCCAGGAAATAAAGCCGAGACATTTTCGCTGGCCGTTTCCGAGACCAAACGACATTACAAACACACAAACACATACAAGCAAAAACCCGGCACATTCCCCCAAGATTACAAACAAACTTAAACGCCTCAGCGAGAGGAAGCGAGCTAAAAAGTAACTCTGCTCTCAGAAACATCTCGAGTCATTTGCCTCAGAGAGAGAGAGAGAGAGAGAGAGCGCCCCATGGAGACACCCCCTGACCCACTGGCCGCGAGAGCGCCACTGTGGTAGCTTGTGTCTGCCACACTACCACAGTGGCAGAGACAGCTCTGATGGTCATCAGAAAGCAGACATTCTCAGCCCCACACAGCGAACCCAGCTCTCGCGAAGAAGGGGGGGGGAGGGAAGGTGATTATTGTTATTGTATGGTGGAGCAGGAGGCCTGTCACCCCGCTGATTAAAGAACTGGTGCTGGTTGGTAACGTAAAGGATTGTGAGGGGGGGGGGGGGTCGTAACGTGGAAGGATTGTGGTGGTGAGGGGTAATGGTCGGAAGGGGTAATAGTGGGGGGGAAGTAATGGGGAGGAGGGTGTAACAGGTGTTATCGTGGAGGGTGCTGGTGAGGGGTAAAGTGTTGTGGTGTAGGTAATATGGAGGGTTGTAGTGGTGAATATAACTATAAACTATGAATAACAACACAGGAATTCAGAATGAAGAAAAATACATTTCTGCATAGTAAGAGTTTATATATATTACGACCAGATGCTTTCCGAGCAACACCGGAACTAGCCAACCATCGACTCCTAAAAACAACCAATTTCGATTTTCCGACGAGAGGTATAACAGAAGCGAAAGGAAAGAGGGGAAAAATGGGAAAGGAATAGTTGAAAAGGAATGGAGAGAGTAAATAATGCAGTAGGTGAACAAGACGAAAAAATCTTAAAAAAAAAAAATAGAAATTATGCAACCCATCCTCAAATTAAGTCCATTTCATTCAGCGGTCGACCCCAAAGACGCATTCATCAATTTTAACATGCTGTTCACTCAAAACAGGGATTTTCTCAAATATAAATTATTATTATTATATATTAGTATATTGTACCTATTTAGGCACTGGTTACGTTACGTTAGGTGTTTAGGTTCTGTTGGTGATTATTTGTATTTGTAGTACGTGGCTTAAGTATTTACAACGTTGGGCTTCGAACAAAAGTCGTCAGCAAAGCACTTGTTCCGGAAGTGTTCGAATGCCATCAGTTGAGAGTCGTGTGTTATCTTGAGGTTATCTTGAGATGATTTCGGGGCTTTAGTGTCCCCGCGGCCCGGTCCTCGACCAGGCCTCCACCCCCAGGAAGCAGCCCGTGACAGCTGACTAACTCCCAGGTACCTATTTACTGCTAGGTAACAGGGGCATTCAGGGTGAAAGAAACTTTGCCCATTTGTTTCTGCCTCGTGCGGGAATCGAACCCGCGCCACAGAATTACGAGTTCTGCGCGCTATCCACCAGGCTACGAGGCCCCCACCTCGTAAACGGTGTAAACCGTTTTTCATTCATAAACAGGGGGTTTGGCAATGCAATAGACTTTAGCCTTTTGTTTATGAAGACAGGCTGAATTATAAAGTACTGAAGATCTAGAGACCCAGAGAACGTAAACATAACAGGGGAACCGCGAGTTAACCCCGGCGCAGTACCAAGGTTAACTCATGAGGAGAGTATTCACCTGATCTTGGTAAGTAGAAAGTGGTGGCAGTGAAAAAAAATATACTGTAACTAGGGCAGTAGTAGTAATAGTAGTCCTTAAATAGTAGTAGTAAATAGTAGTAATAAAGTAGTCCTTTTACCTGTGGCTCCCTGGTGATCAACCATACGAGGTTACAAGGCATCACTGTACTACGGGTAAAGTAAGAAACAACGGTGAACAACAGAACCGTTAAGTAACGACCAGTAAGATACACTTTAGTGACGTTGAGGTGCGTATTTAGTCCGGGTTCCGTTACACACACAGGTCATGTGAGGAATGTTTGATATTTAGTATTTTCACTTGTCTTTGTAAATGGTTTAGGTAAGTATTAGATGTGAATAAGCATTAGTAAACGAAGCAGGTTTTATTTAGAATAATGATACATTTGTGTAGGATGAATATATCTGATAATTTCTGCATTACAAAGAAAAATTATACGCTACCATGGATCAGTTATGTAAAATGAGTGATTACCCGTTCAAAACAATTACAGCCTATGCATATTTTATTTGAGAAAGATTATATATATATATATATATATATATATATATATATATATATATATATATATATATATATATATATATATATATATTAAACAATCCATCAACCCCCAAAATGTCGGTAAGATGTTGGAAATTACATGAGGAATATAGTCTTCCAGGAATAGTTCTTCGATATTCCTTTCTTCTATCTTAAGTAAACTGAATTGGGTACTGAAAGGAATGCCAGATTTAAAATTTTTACTTCGTGTACCTTCCTACATCACAAAAAATTAAACCCTCTAAAAATCTTGAAAATGTTGTTTTTCGTGAATTTAGAACTCTGTTTTACTTGTGTTTTGCTGACAATCGATCACAGTGGTGATTTCAAATTTAATCAGCCTCCACATGAAAACTTGCGACAAAGTTCCAGAAAAATTTCCAACATAAATCGAAAGGCGTGAACGTATGAAGTAAAAACTTCAATAAAGGTGTTACCTTGTTTTACTCTAAACAAAGAAATATGTTTTCGAAGATTTATTCAAATATTTCAGAAAAATGGCAAGGGAAAAATATAGTATATGCTTAAATACCTAAGAGTGCGATCAACTTTTCTTCCAGTAACTTAATTCACAATTTGCCCACTCAACTCACTGAGTCCCATCAAAGTGACGAGCTGCAACTTGCCTCACATAAGAGGCTGATGAATACAAATCTTGCCCGAAAGAAACTTGTATTGCACTGACCGATAATGACAAACTCTACGAGAGAAACATCTTTTCAACAGCTCACAAAGCGGATGAAAGAACTGATGGACAGAATCAACAGAAATCTGACCCGCAATTATATAAACATTATATTATATATATATATATATATATATATATATATATATATATATATATATATATATATATATATATATATATATATATATTCATATTCACTTTGGACAATCACCCCCTTCCCCCAACGCTCACGGTGCATTGACAAAGCGACGACATTACTTTCAAGGCACCTGATAAAGCACGACTAAAAATCACGAGACAGGTTTGAGATTCTTCGCTACATCTTTCGTTTCAGTGACCAATTCCCTAGACTTTAAAGGCATTAGAGGATCCTATCCCACTTCGCTATATCCCAACAACTCCCCTCTTACCTTGCACTAGTGCAAGTATTTGATAGAATTCAATTTACAATTAGGGTCACGTCGCCTGTTATGTTGGCCAAGGCATGAGTTCTCGAGCAGTATCACTTCAATACCCAGGAGAATCCATATTCTGAGCAGTTTTGGTTTCGACGCCAAGTTCGCTTCCTGACTAAATATTTTCCCATCGTGCGAATACAACAAGGAAATGAATTGGCGAGTAAGGTGGACACCAAATGAGTCTGATGGCTCTACTACACGGGCCAATCAGCCTTCGATCAATCCCGGGCCTGTGTCACATTGACCTCCTCCTATGGTATCGCTCAAGTCATTCCTTTACTGTGTCGCCAAAAAAGTTTCTGTAAACAAGCCTTTAATCAACCATTTTATTTTTCGTTCTACCATCCCAGCTCTACTGCAGATTGCAACTCATTTCAGCCCTTATGAGTGATCAATCCATGTGTCTTTTATATTAACCAGACTCAAAACACTAGTCATAGAACTCGCAAACACTAATGATCTACGCCTCAAAGAAAATTAATCTTTATTCGAATTTTGTTGCAGACATTCGTGTACATTTCTCTTCCCCAAACGGGGAGGAAAAAGAACCAAGAGCAGTAATCTGTGCCAACAGAAAGTCTTCAAAGCCAGAGGCTTCCCAGACGTCTGATAAACCAAGGTTGGACGGTTTTAATCTCGCCATCACACACACACACACACACACGCTCCACATTCACGCCAAACTGAAAACTATTATTTTTTTCTTTCTTCCTTCATACTAAACTCTCTACAAGCAAATAGAAACTATTCTTTGCTCCTGATCGCTGCATAGATGTTACTCAGAATCCTGAAACCAAAATGTTCACACACACACACACACACACACACACACACACACACACACACACACACACACACACGCACGCACACGCACACTCAGGTGTGCTGGGCGCTGGTGGCTGAGTAAACGGCACGCTGGATACGTACTCCTGTGGTCCGTGGTTCGATTACTGGCACCGGCGAAAATAAAGATGGTTAGAGTTTCTTTCACCCTGATGTCCCGGTTACCTAGCAGTAAATAGGTACCTGGGAGTTAGACAGCTGTTACGGGCTGCTTCCTGGGTGTGTAGTCAACTAGTTGTACTCACCTAGTTGTGCTTGCGGGGGTTGAGCTCTGGCTCTTTGGTCCCGCCTCTTAACCGTCAATCAACTGGTGTACAGATTCCTGAGCCTACTGGGCTCTATCACATCTACACTTGAAACTGTGTATGGAATCAGCCTCCACCACATCACTGCCTAATGCATTTCACTTGTTAACTACTCTGACACTGAAAAAGATTTTTCTAACGTCCCTGTGGCTCATTTGGGTACTTAAGTCGCCACCTGTGTTCTCTTGTTCGCGTACCACCCGTGTAAAAAAGTTTATCCTTGTCTTGCCTGTCAATTCCTCTGAGAATTTTGTAGGTGGTGATCATGTCTCCCCCTACTCTTCTATCTTCCAATGTGTGTGTGTGTGTGTGTGTGTGTGTGTGTGTGTGTGTGTGTAGAAAAAAAATGCAAGTTAGTAACAGCTGATTGACAGTTGAAAGGCGGGCCGAAAGAGCAGAGCTCAACCCCCGCAATCACAACTAGGTGAATACAACTAGGGGAATACACACACAAATCTGTTTCCATTGAGCCAAGGTTTCATCAGCAGCACAAGAGAAACCTTCCCTCTCTGACCTACACGCCTCAGCTACCAGCCCTGGACCCAGCTGATGAGTTGGGCATCAGGGCGAGGGAAAATTTCACTACGGTATTGACACTGTACCTCACCTCCCAGATATGCGTGTGTGTCAGCTTCAGGATAGACATTATCTCACCAGCCCTATCAGTGTATTCACCTAGTTGTGACTGCGGGGGATGAGCTCTGGCTCTTTCGGCCCGCCTCTCAACTGTCAATCAATTTTATGTGTGTGTGTATGCGCGCGTGTGTGTGTGTGTGTATGCGCGCGTGTGTGTGTGTGTGTGCGTGTGTGTGTGTGTGTGTGTGTGTGTGTACTCACCTAGTTGTGCTTGCGGAGGTTGAGCTACGGCTCTCTGGTCAAGCCTCTCAACCGTCAATCAACTGGTGTACAGGTTCCTGAGCCTACTGGGCTCTATCATATCTACACTTAAAACTGTGTATGGAGCCTGCCTCCACCATATCATTTCCTAATGCATTCAATTTATTAAATACTTTGACACTAAAAAAAATTCTTTCTAATGTCTCTATGGCTTATTTGGGCACTCAATTTCAATCTGTGTCCCCTGGTGCGTGTGCTCCCTTCTGATAAACTTTGTCTACCCTACAAATTCCGTTGAGAATCTTGTATGTGGTGATCATGCCCCCCCCCTAATTCGTCTACCAGAGACGTTAGGTTTAATTCCCGAAGTCTCTCCTCATAGCTCATGCCCCTCAATTCGGGCACTCTTCTGGTGGCCAACCTCTGAGCCTTCTCCAATTTAGTTTTAATGTTTGACGAAATATGGACACCATGCTGGAGCTGCACACTCCAGGATTTGTCTGACATACGTGGTATACAAGGTTCTGAATGATTCCTTATACAAGTTTCTAAAGGCTGTTCTTATGTTTCCAACCTGGCATATGCCGCTGATATTATCCTCTTAATGTGGGTTTCGGGGGACAGATCTGGCTTGATATCCCCCAGGTCTTTCTCTCTCATACCAGAATAATTTCATCTCCCAAATGACTCCTTGTATCTGGCTTGTATGATATGGCAACCTATATCTTATTACTAAGGATAAAATACCTGAAATCCTTGCACTATATCCATATTTCGTTTCCAGTAGATAAATATTTGTGATTAAGAAACAAGTTGTGTATTGTGAAAATTAATAACAGACATCAGCTCCCCTATGACACTTTAATATCTCCATTGCTCAAACATGTATGTATTAGCGTTAAGACCTACCATTAATGTATAATGACTTACTGTTAATATATTACTGTTAATATTCAAATCCAGGGATCCCATCACAATGGTTGTACTCTTCAAGTCACTTGTGTTGTCCCGTCTTGAGTACTGCTCAGTACTCACTTCCCCCTTCAGAGCAGGAGAGATTGCTGAAATAGAGGGAATACAGAGAACATATACGGCACGCATAGACGCAATAAAGCACCTAAATTATTGGGATCGTCTCAAAGCCCTCCAAATGTACTCACTAGAAAGAGGACGAGAGAGATATCAAATAATATACACCTGGAAGATACTGGAGGGCCAAGTACCAAATCTACACAGTAAAATAACAACGTACTGGAGTGAACGACATGGAAGAAAATGTAGAATAGAACCAGTGAAGAGCAAAGGTGCCATAGGCACAATCAGAGAACACTGTATAAACATCAGAGGTCCGCGGTTGTTCAACGTTCTCCCAGCAAGCATAAGAAATATTGCCGGAACAACCGTGGACATTTTCAAGAGGAAACTAGATTTGTTCCTCCAAGGAGTGCCGGACCAACCGGGCTGTGGTGGGTATGTGGGCTTGCGGGCCGCTCCAAGCAACAGCCTGGTGGACCAAACTCTCACAAGTCGAGCCTGGCCTCGGGCCGGGCTTGGGGAGTAGAAGAACTCCCAGAACCCCATAAACCAGGTATCAACCAGGTATAGCTCTTGAAATAGAACGTTCTCTGTAACTAGCTAACATTGTAATTATAAAAGTATGAAGAATAGATAAAATTATTTGTAATAATCTCCGTTGAGGTCTGATAAAGACCTTTTGTGCCCTCTGTAATGCTTTTTGCGCTACTGCTCACAGGATGAGTATGGGGTGCACAATAAACTAGCCACCTCCGACGGCAACACTCCAAATCGCCCAATCGCCTAGCCGTCCTAGCCGGAGAACCCCATCTATCCCTCCGTCCTCAGTAGCAGGGAGGAGGTCATCCGCTCCACCGATCACCCTCGTGCTCCATTGGAGGTCCACCTTTGCCTCCACGCCCGGGTGAACGACACTACCTCCACACCCAATAAGTCGTACCCGCTTGGTCCGCGACGTCTTCCCCTCCGTCTGCAGTCTTGGGGCATCAAAGTTGAGAGCTTCTGGGATACAGAAACGTGAATCACAAGAGTTCCAGTAAGAATATTACAGGGATTTTCCTGAGGCAGAGAAGTTCCAGTAAGATTATTACAGGGATTTTCCTGAGGCAGAGAAGTTCCAGTAAGATTATTACAGGGATTTTCCTGAGGCAGAGAAGTTCCAGTAAGATTATTACAGGGATTTTCCTGAGGCAGAGAAGTTCCAGTAAGATTATTACAGGGATTTTCCTGAGGCAGAGAAGTTCCAGTAAGATTATTACAGGGATTTTCCTGAGGCAGAGAAGTTCCAGTAAGATTATTACAGGGATTTTCCTGAGGCAGAGAAGTTCCAGTAAGATTATTACAGGGATTTTCCTGAGGCAGAGAAGTTCCAGTAAGATTATTACAGGGATTTTCCTGAGGCAGAGAAGTTCCAGTAAGATTATTACAGGGATTTCCTGAGGCAGAGAAGTTCCAGTAAGATTATTACAGGGATTTTCCTGAGGCAGAGAAGTTCCAGTAAGATTATTACAGGGATTTCCTGAGGCAGAGAAGTTCCAGTAAGATTATTACAGGGATTTTCCTGAGGCAGAGAAGTTCCAGTAAGCTAGTTACTACAGTGATCTTGCTTAGGAGTTTAAGGGCATCTGTGGAGGTGAGCAGGTTGAAGGAGTCATAGAAATTGCTTGGGTCTAGGATATGCTTATATTACCAGTTTTTTCTGGCCAGTAAATGAATTATGGGAAATAGGGAAAATTTCCCATTTCCCGCTGCGGAAATGGGGAAAAGATGCTCGTCTATTACTGAAGTGTGGTCGTCTGTAATGTCTGTTTAGAAAGTCCTTGGCATTGGAAAGTATGTTTCCAATGCCAGGGGGTTTCCTGCTAGCCTGTGGACAGTTCATGTATGGGACAAGTATATTCCAATGTCAGTACTTTATGTAATCTAAATATATTTAATATATTTAAAGGGTATTTTTTTACGAACTCTATCTACTAGTTTGCATAATGTGTGTTTATGTAATTTGTCTAGACATTATTTGAAAACATTGGGTATAAATGTCTTTTCATAAAGGTGGTATGTCTGCTGGCAAGCAGGCAGGCTGACAGCAGACCTGCATGTCACAGGTCTGCAATATTCTTCCGCCCAACTAAGTAGTACCCTCATATATTCGACGATTATCGGTAACCAGTAGAATAAACATTAAAAAAAAGACTCCATTTGTTACAAGTATTGTTAAATGGGAACATTCAGGAATTATTCAGTATTAATAGGACATCCGGTAATGAGGGTTGAACTTGTGGAGACTTTAATGGAGATGGGGCTGTCGTGTTCGACAGAGACTCATGGGCCTAGAGATTTTCTCCCCGCCTGCTGGATGACTGCTGGATACCTGCTGGATGGGGTTCTGGGAGTTCTTCTATGCCCCAAGCCCGGCCCGAAGCCAAGCTTGACTTGTGAGAGCTTGGTCTAACATGCTATTGCTTGGAGCGGCCCGCAGGCCCACATATCCACCAAAACCCGGATGGTCCTGCACTTCTTGAAGAAAACTATCAGTCAGAGAACCCACAATTCATATTCAGTTAACTTACAGGATATGATAGTGCTGTTCGTGTGTCTA